CAATTACCATAATGCTGAGAATACTAATAATAACGTAAGGTTTCTCGTGAGCACGAGATACTTTCTGGTGCTCACGAGAAAAGTTTAATTCCCCCCCCCCTATGTCCCTTTAGGGGCTCCGTACATTACAGTGCACGTTGTAACAAGATATTTTCATGTTACTACGACATAAAAAACACAAAACTTTTCTTGTTATAACATGAATGTAATACCACGAACTGTTTCATGTTATAACGTGATAACTTTATTGTTATAACATAAAAGCTTTCACGTTATAACAAGAGAAATGGTATATTGTTATATGATAGAGCTTGCAGTGCCCTTTCTGAACAGCCACATGCATTTAAAAATCCTTTTCCGAGTAGGCATACATGCTCAATAACAACACAATCTCGCATGTCTCAATGAAATAAAACTTAAGTAAATTATGTAAATGAGCCTTATTCCTCAATGTATCAGTTATCAGCAGGTTGCTCATTCAGACATGAGTTATGCAGATATGTACATGAAAACTATTTCATCTTGTACCAATAACCAAAAAGCCATAAAACCATAAGTACGTTGTGTGTAATATGTGTTGCATGTAATGTAATGTAATATGTGTTTTCATATAAAAAAATATTTGTATTTTTTATTTGTCTTTATTTTTCTCACTTGCTGTTCCCCCTGGCATGTCTGATGTTGAATGTATGAATGTTTTTTGCCAAATTGTGTGATATGTGCAATTTGTTAAATAAAAAGAAAGACAAAGGAAAAAACAGCAGTGCATGGCCAACAGTCTGTTCAACTGTTCTCAGATCTCCTCTTAACACAGTGACAGTAACCTCTTTGTTTCATTTCATTACCATATATCAATATTTGATTTGAAACTTTTTAATAGATAGTTCCTGTCTAATATATCTTGGGTCTTACTTTTGCAGTTTCTATTAGTAATAATAGCATTGTACCCACTTAGTTAGTAACTGAATCGCAAAACATGAACAGATTTTATAAACCACTTTATTTGAAGGTCAAATGAAGTTGAAAGTGAGTATCTGAAATAACTAATATTCCCTCATTGCATAGTGTGTTCCACAGACACCAAATCAGAAGCTGATGCACTATAACGGTAAAACATGTAACATACAGAAGGTTGTTTTTAAGAATAAAAGAAAAAAAGATCCATGGCAAGAAAATGTTTTTAACGACAAACCATCAATTACTCTGGATTTAGACTTCCAGCTTTAATTTCAGTATAAAGGTAGCCATTGTTATAAACAGTCTTTCAATTTGAATAACTTTATCATGACAAATTCTTTGTAACCAATGACTGTGTGGAGTCTCTGACCTCAGGGCATCTTTCGGTTTCTTGCATTTTGTGAGGCAGTTCTCCATCAGTCTGCTCTTCAGCAGTGAAACAGAATCAGCTGGATTGAAGTAATCAACATTTCACTGGCTGTATGTTTAGGACCTTTTCTGTGCAGGTGGTGCAGTCTGAACTTATGTCCTGACTCTTTAGGATAATGTGTTTGTGACCTTCCTGTTCTCAGTAAGCAGGCAGCTTGTATGGACAAATGTTACCACTGACCCAGCCTAACTATCAACAACACATTGGACTTGAGTGGCTTCTGCTTTTTAACCATGTATCAGATGCAGCATTGTGTCTCTAAGTCAGTGTGCTCTTTTCATGTCTTTACAGTATCAGCAGAGTCACAGCTGCTACTCCTCTTCCTTTTCCCGCTGTCTCCACCTGCTGCTCCATCGTGGTACCCCACTGTCTGGCCTGCATCCATCCTTTGCTGAGAAGAGGGGGTTTCTGGGAAGCTCTGCCCAGGCCCCAGCACCTGTCTCACAGTCACGTTCACTCTGGAGCTCTGGATGTACCTGGAGCACACCGCCCAGTCCTCCTCTGACACCGGCTCCACCACAGAGTCGTCCTGCAGGGAAGAGGCCGGGGCACACCCTTCCTTCTCTAAAGCTGTAAGTCCCTGGGGTGCTGGAAGGATGCGTGGGACAGCGTGGTAAAGGAGGCGACTCTGTCCCGACATCACCATCATGTCCCCACTGTGCATGTACATAGCAATGGGGGGGTCCTGTCTGCAGACGCCTCCCAGGAGGAAGATGGCCGACTGCCCAAAACTACCAGAAAAGACAACAAGATACACAGTGAATGAAGTCTTTCTTTCCCATAGTGCAGCAGTCCTCTCAGCCGTGTTTAGACTTTCTCCGCTCTCACCTGAATGACAGCAGCGGACGGCTGTGGTCTAGTTCGGATTCATCCACGTGGATTCCCAGAGAAGAATCTGATCGGTAGTAGTTGAGAATTCCAGCTTCTGCATTGAACCCGGGGAACCCACAGGCGGCTGTTATTTGGAGGGACAGCAAGTGGAGATCGGCTGGGAAAGGAGTGTAATGGTTGGCAGAGTAAGTCTGTGAATGGAACAACAACAGCAAAGGAAACATTTGGACTGTTACAGAGAAGAAGAAAAGCCACGAGATGAGAGATGTGTTGTAAGAGGCTGTCAAATGTTGAATAACACAAGGTTTTTCAAAATAAAAGCCTCATCTCACAAACTGTAAATAGACATTTGGCAAAAGAGGTACACAGTTTGTGTCTAAATTCTTCCGATGGCCCTTATCTGGGAATCAAAGAGGAATTTTACAGTTTTGCCACTGCGTAGAAGTGTGTCTGTGTGTGGGGGGTATCACTTGAAAGTGTGATGTCAGTGCATACCCTCAGGGGTCAGAGGATTTCACATCATCATAAGAAAGAATGAAATGAGTTGAGAAATGTGAAAGAGTTAGCATTGTGTGATAACGGTAATATAGGTATTCATATCTGCATTTATAACTCTACATCAGCTGAATCCTTCATACAGGATCCTCCACGCACAGAAAGGATGTGTTGCTTACCTTGGTATCCCAGTTGTAATGGTAGCCCAGAGTGACCCAGCGCAGCTTCTCCAGAAGAGTCTTTGGTTCACTCTTTCCAGAGGGAGGACGACTGCGGAGGGATCAAACACAGAGAGCACACAGCTGATTTTATCTTAAATTTTGTCTCCACAAATTCTCTGTGTAAACTAATCCCCAGGACATTTCACAGTGCGAGTAATCGTCAGAGGGCAGGAGCACCACTAGTCTCACCTGAGGCTATGCACACTCTTGCCCCAGATGTCCTGGGTCTCAGAGGGAGACATGTGCATGTCCAGGTTGCAGACGTTGGGCTTCTGAGGGTAGGTCTTCAGACAATGTCTGACCCAGGAGGGTTGGGAGCCTAGCAGGAACGGGTTGGAGATGAAGATGAATCCTAAACAACACACAACAGTACAGCGTTAGGTCATAGACGCAGAAAGTCCCCCTCTAGTCAAAAATCAGTGTTTCTTGTTGTCCCTACAGATGGATGTTTTAGCTTCACTGTGCACACACATTACTGGTCCCAGCAGACTATTTGTATATATGTCCTAATACATGTCTGGAGGGGATCTTTAGGATTAAAGCCACTGTTACACATGTATAACATCGTCTGTATTTGCTCCCTGTCAGTTTTCACTCTGATAAATACTGAATGTAGTGTTGATGACTCTCTCTCCATCTGTCCTGTGTTTACCTGGGTAGCCCTGCAGGCCACAGGCTCTCCAGTCTTTCACAGGCTTTAATCCAACCCTTGCAGCGTCCACATCACTCACTGCAGCAAGGTCCAGTTTAGCTGGTACTATCTATCAATCACACAGACGCAAACAAAGGAACATCACTCATTTGTAGACATATTAACCAGAATAATAGAGACCCCTTTGAAATCTAATGCAACAACCATTCTGCCACAAATTCTTATTTTAAGGAACTTAAAGGTCCAGTGTGTAGGATTTAGTGGCATCTAGTGGTGAAGTTGTAGATTGCAACCATATGAATACAGCTCAGCCTTCCAAGCTAATGTAGGATACACTACAGCGGCTGTGAAAAACACAAATGGCCCTATCTAGAGTCAGTGTTTGGTTTGTGCCCATAACTGTATGACATATCTGTACATGTCATACAGCCAATGCCTCCTCTTCATCTTATTTCATCTTCTTGATGTTACATAAGTGTTTTACTACTATCAGTATGTAACTTTAAGGTACTAAAACCAGCTGTGCTCAATCACGTGACTCATGTGTCTCTTCCTCTTGCTCTGATATTTCCCTCACCTTGTCACTCGGTCCACCTTTAGAGAAGTCAATGACATCGCTGAGATCCGGCGGAGGGTTTCTTCTTCTGTACAGCTTGAAGATTTTTCGAAATGCATCTTCACCATTCTCCACCATGGAGGCTGCCATCTTGGCCATTCCGTAAGTGACCTTTCAACTCAAGCCCGCTTCCGGTACTCCAGAGCTTTTCTGACTGAATTATTTTAGCAAACTTAAACAGTATACATGAATTAAAACTTTTTTTAAAGCAGTGAATACGTATAGGAACTGGCTCTAAAGTGTCCCACATATTATTCGGTCACATATCTGTACCAGTTTGCATCACGTGATTCTACGTCATAGGTCAGAGTGGTATACCAACGAGAAAAAATGGCGGCGTCGACGAAGAAGTGTTTCGAGGTGTTCGTGTCTAAAGTACCATGGACTGTAGCCAGCAGTAAGTTAATTAAATTGTTCATATTATCACATATATAGTGTCAGCAAGATATTGTCCTGTAGCCACTGACTCCATTCTGTACAGCGTTAATGTAACGTTATGTCTGCTCAGCCTTACCCCCACTGACACACGGTCAGCTAACGGACAGCGTCTGCGTGTGGAGACATGGTGTAACCTGGTGTAATGTGATTAAAAGACCAATTTAGCAGAGAGAGACGCTTTTCAACTCCATATCTGCGTTCAGTTGCCAGCGTATCCATATTGTGTCGCTGTCACTTAAAACACTTAAATCAAAAACGCACGGCGTTGCGTTGGGAGGTGTAGTTCTAGCTTGGTGTACCCAATAAACTGTAAACTTAGTGTCTACATAAGCCAGTGGTTCCCAGCCTTTTTCCACAAGGGACCCCTTTTTTATCATTGACGACCCCTGGCTAAGTGACATATTTTTGGGGATATTTCATGTTATATTCTAAGCAACAGTACAGAAGAACTGGAAGTTTGTGTAAAATGAGTGATTGGATTAATTTAGTGAATTTGCAGATCTGTTTACAATTACCGATATACACTACAAGATAGTGAATTTCTGAGCTGGAATCAAAGTAGACCCTTTTTAATGTGGATTTTGCACCGATGTGACTAAGCAAATGGAAGTGTGGTCTCTCACACACACACGCCACACTGCATGATATGCGTATGTCTGTTCCCTTGTATTCCCTTGTCCTTTCACTTCATACACAGTGGGGGTAAATAAAAGGAAACGGGACACACCAGTGTACAAGTAGAAATGCTCATAACGGCGTAGGCTTGACATAGAGCTTAAGTCCAACTATAAACCAGCCTTTACTCTGTGCTTCTTCCACAGTATTGTAAATCACAGCGCACTCTGCTGGATAAACTTTGCAGTGACACCTATATATTACCACAAGCACTTCTTTCTGCCATATATTCCAGGAACAAAACAGTTTTCACTCAGTACTGGCCAACTAATATGTTGGCCGGGCTGTAATCAAGACATTTTTTGTTGATAAAGTTGGAGTGGAAATCCATGTCTTTTTTTTTGTTTTTGTAGCACTATAATGCTTTCTGTTTGTTTTTCAGAGCAGATGAGGGAGTACTTTGGACAGTTTGGCACGGTGAAGATGTGTCGTCTACCATTTGTAAGTTGTCACAGCATTACAATTACTCATTCTACAGTTTATACACATCTCTATCTATCTATCT